CAGCAGAACGTAACTGCATGGGAATAAATGAAACCCTGGGCTGTGGAGCTGGACTGGAAAGTAGTGATGAACCTTCTGCTAAGAACTGTCAAAGACAGAGTTTTCCTCTTTGCTTGCTTGCTTGCTGTACTAAACAGCAGAAAAAAATCAGTTTGGCATGTCTCTTCATACTGGTGGACATTAAAGATAAACTTTATCTTAGAGTAAGTTCAGGCTTTCTTTGCAGAGGGGTGTGGAGTTTGGCATACGGAGGCAGTCCAGATTTGTGACATGTTTTGCTTACTACAGTTCAGGAATGTTGGGACCCTGGACTGGATACTGTTTGTACTGGGCAGTTCTGCCATTGTCATACTGATTTATCTTGCCAAGAGGCAGTTGCCTTTGCATGTCCAGAAGATCATAGCAGAGGCCCTTCATAGCCACCCCTTGTACAGCACATCAGGCTCTCATAATCAACGTGTAAATTACTGCTTCCAATAGTTTGCATTACTGAAACTATTAAAGATAAGTGTGACTGCTGCATTTATGCTCTCTATGCAAAATAAGGTAGCACTGGAGTATTACCCAGAAACAATTCTTCTGCACTAACTGAAAAAATCTTTGTTGTTAATATAATTGGTCCTTCTGTTTTCAGTGTGTTTTGTTTAAGTATTCTCCACTGTAATGGCATTTGTGGGAAATCTTATTATCACAGCAAATCTGGATATGTTCAGTAGGATTCTCATAACTTACTCTTCCTGGTTTCAGTGGCAGTCTGCCCTTCTAACTCAGCTGTACCTGTACATTTCTGCCTCACAACATACTTTGTGAAGTGGTATTAAATGCTGAGGCTTGCAAATGAAGCATCATGTTGACATCCAATGTCATTCTTACTTTAACGCCAGAGCTGTTTTTGATGTCACATGTGATGAGCTGAGTCAAATTTTTTGTTCTCTTTTGTCAGAGTTTTGCTGGATATTACTACAGGGATGTTCCTGAAACAATTACAGATTGATAGGAGAGCAGAGGTGGAAGGAGCCTCAGGAGGTCCCTCATCTGGGTTCCTGCCCCAAGTGTTCCTTCAGAATGCTCTGGGCCTTGCTTCAGTCAAGTTACGAAGATGTCCAAGAATGGAGATCCCACAACCCTTTAGGCAGTGAACTTAAAAATCGTAAATCCTTTGTCTTGAGAGCATGGTGCCTATCAGTGAATATTACTGTGAATGATAGAAAGTAGAAACTTTGCCCAAGAAGCTTGTTTTGATCCATACAAATACTCTTACCAGATAAAAAGGCTAAAAGAGAAGAATTGAACAATGGTTCATTTAAGAACAAGAGTCCTGTAAGAGCAAGAAGCCTTTTCATAGCAGCGTGTATTAGCACTGATAACAGGACAGTGCTTCCAAGGGCTGCAAAACAGCAATGGAAAAGTACTACAGCATCCCTGATCATATCGCATGTCGATACCAAAGTTTTGCTTGAAGAGTCTGACCACGTCTGTGCATCTTCTTCATATGGTTGTTTGCAGATTCTTGTTCAGTGCAGCAGTACAAAGTACTAGATTCCGTGATGTGACTTTAAAATGCATCTTCTTTTCTTATGAACAACCCCTTTTAAGCAATATTTTCTTGTGGCTGCACAAATTAAATGTAAGAGATGATAGGATTTTAATCAAACACAAATTGCTGGTTGCTCCACTGAGCAGGATTAGTTCAGCCAGGTTAGACGGCTATGCTGGCTTTGTTCTTACAGGTACTCTTGTTTTGAAAGCATGAGGCAAAGCCACTGCCTGGTGCTGTGCTGTTGGTGTGCCAGCCCCTGCTTCTGCTGGGGTTTAGGTGCTGGAAAAGACCTAGGAACAGTCATGAACCTGAAGAGAGGCCTTGAGAAGCAGCTCATGGTGAATAAGAAATAGAGGACCACAGCGAGTATGCAGAATATATTATAAATATAATAAATTATGAAAGTAAAAATTCTGAACGTTAATGTAAAGAGCGTTCTCAGATATTCTCAATGTGAAGATATAACTGTATCCTTCCTTGTTCATGGAGAGAAGGAAGGAGCTGCCTGCTCCTGGATTGGTACCCAGGCAGGCTATCCTCAGAGGATCTGGGAAGGAATTGCTTCTTCCTGGAGGAGTAGAAGGATCTTGAGTCTCCAGAACAAGCTTTTAAATTCCAGCATTGTCTGCAGTGGAGGAGGACTGGTTGCTAACAGTCCCCCCTCAGAGGTTAAGTCCAGAATTTCTGCCTCGAGAGGGAAGCAGATACTGTGGCAGTAGCTTCTGCGCCATTGCTGGCTGCATCTCGGAAGTAGGGTGCTGTTTTTTGCATCCTGGGCACAGACTACACAGAGTTTGGCTGGAAGATACTGCTTCCCTCATTACTCCATTCGCAGGGTGTGAAAAGCCAGTCTGTCTCTTGGTCTCCATGGGAAGAGGAAACTGCTAGTAGTGATTGTAGCCCAAAGATCTTTCTGTGCACCTCTGGGATCCCTACTCAGGCCTGACAGATTGGGTGACAAGTTCTTGTTGTCTTTTCCTGGTATTAATTACTTGGAATTGATCTGTCTCCTTCCTTTCCCCCAGTGTCCTTAATTCTCATAACTGTGCATACCTGTTGTAGCACTGCGTACACAGAAGTTGTAGCAGCTCATGAAGGGAGCCATTGACAGTGGGTCAGGAGGAAGTACCTAACAACAGCTGTTACGGAGGTTCTTCAGAGCAGAAACATCAAACTATTCTTATTGTCCTTGATCTTGAAAAGACAAAACAGAAAGCTCTTTAATTCAATCTTGGCTTTATTTGGGTAAAACATAAATGTCCTCTCCTCATCATTCATACATATTTATCTATCCTGTCAGAAACACTTCTGTTTATGGCTGAAAGCAGTAAAACAAAAGCATCCACTTGATTGAAGACAAAGTGAATATTTCTGTGCTGACAAGTCTTGATTTCCATGATTGGTTTTCATTAGGTTACAATTTTCTGTCTCTCTACTTTATGATGCTTGATGTTATAAGATGAAATTGTATTGTTATTCTTAAAATAACACTGAATACAGTTTGATTCTGTCTCCTTACATGGCAGATGCTTGTTGCAGTATTGTCTGCTTAGATACCATCAGTGCAACAAATGGAGCTCAGAAAAACCCCAACTGCAAAACCATAGCATGCTGGGTGAAAATGGGTACATTTCACAATGAAAACAGTTTGATGTGGTGTTATACAAAACCACAAAATATCTTCTTTTCCTTCTTCCTTCCTTTCATTCAAGAAAGGCTTGATAAAGAATCATGAATGACATTTCTAGAAGCAGAACTAGATTCAGAGCATCTTGAGTCATCCCATGGAACTTGCTCATTGGAGGAAGTTGTGTTGGAGAAGGCAAAGTTTAACAGTGAGAAAATAGGAAGGAATAAAAACTTGAGTAGCTCCTTTCCTTATTTTCAGATCTGACTTAGCTGTCCCATACAGTCATTCCAATCAGGTATGGATAGAAGGTTATCTATCTGATCAATTCTCATTTGCCCAGAAGCACTTTAATGCTGTTTGGCTCTGTGCTTTTTGTGATGCTGTGCTGCAGTGAAAGGCCATGTAAACGATTAGTCTCAAACTTCTAGTCCCTATTCAGCATGTGCTTATGTGCTGTCATCTTTTTGTTTAAGTTTTGCAGAGTAGTTGTATTTTGGCCTGGTGAGAATGCCAGTGGAGCTGCTTTGAAAGTGCTGTCAATGTAGTCCTTTTATTTGGTTCGTTTCTCCACGTGGTTCATGATTCCAGTAAATGGCAGTAGGGGAGAGAGGGTTAGACATGAGAAAAATCATGGAAGTCCTAAAAACATCATAACTGCCTTTTCTTCTGGGTATTTGCTGTATGAATGGGATTCTTTGAGATAAGAGAATGTGTCCAAAGGAAGTGGAGAAATGTGTGGATGAGTGATAACATGCAGAGTGTACAGAAGAGTGCACATTAAATGCAGAAAAAATATCTGCAAGACTTGTCGATTCCTTACAGAACATAGCATACATTAATGAGCATTTTTATACAACAAGGAAAAGAGAATAGATACACCAAGCAATTTACATTTCTGTGTATGAGTAACAGTAGTTTTTCCTACTGTATTTGTTATGTGCCCGCACATTTCCGGGGAATTCCAGTCCAAATAAAGCTGTGGTTCCTTTTATACATAAGAATTCTTATTTAATTTTTTCATTTGAGATGTGAAATGGCAATAAATGAGTTAGATAAGGTATGAAAATAATAGACTGGAGAGAGTATCAAATGACTGAACATAAAATCACTAACTGGATGATTACATGACTAATGAATTTATTCAGCCCTAACAGTCAGAGGGGTATGTTGGAGAAAATGGTAGCCCTCAGTCATTCATCAGTGGATAAAACTTTTAACTAGATCAACAAAGGACAACCTGTATGAGACCTAAGGTAGGGCATAGCTGCTACTAAATCTAGGAGGTTAATTCTTGATGCACTGAATTTTGTTCCAAAAGCATCCTTTGGAAATCCACGTTTCTTCTTACTTTGAAAGCATGGTTGAAACGAGACCTTACTATACCCAGTGGAAATTCTACCAGCAAACAAGGCTGTAATTTGAAGAATACTTCTCTGAAAGTCAACATGAAGGAGTTCTATTCTTGCTGGAGAAGCATGTAGAAACTTCTCCATGTGTTTACTCACTGCAGCCATCCCCCTGGCAGGTTGCAAAATGCACCTCTTGGCTTCATTTCAAGTTGTCACTTTGACACCAGGGATGCTAGTTACATATCACGCACAACAAACAGAACACTGTTACACTGATGGAAAGTCTGATTAAGTGAAATCTTTTCTCTCTAGAGACAGGATGTGTGCTGTGGGCTCAGACTGCATACGATGCTCCTGGTGAGCAGCACCTCGCTCTGAAATCCCCTCACACTGGCCTTGACTACTCACAGCCACACAGCCATGGGGAAGCAGCATAGTGACTGGTCAATCTGGTGTTCATATATGCTCTTATTTTTAACAGATTTATCTCGGACTAAAGCCTCCACAGATCAAGGATGTTGATTCTTCTGGCGTTCATTATTGTGTTTCATATAACCTCAGCAGCACTGCTGTTCATCTCAACTATTGACAATGTAAGTATCGTTTCTTCTTTTTTCCTCTCAAACATGCTGGTGTTTCTTTGCTTCATAAAAATTAAGTTATTTTTCTCTAGTTGTCTGCAACTTGCCTATTGGAAGCATGTAACTTTGTTGGGCACACTGGTCTCCTTGCATCTTTTTGTAGAAGAAATGCCTGGAGTATGCATGTTTCTGCTGTACAGGGATAGGACTATACATGTAGCTGCTGTGCATTTGTGTGGTGTCATGTTCTAAGCCCATGTCATGCAGCTCATCTTCTCCCCTTTAAGATACTTGGCCAGGGACTATCTTTAGAAATACTACCATGCTTGCAGGGTGAAGCTGCTATGGGACTTGCTTCAGCTAGGTATGGGGGTGGTCTGTCATCCTTTTGATCAAGTACATGCAGTCAAATAGCTCATGGTCAGTGCATGGAGATAATCTCAGTCAGGCTGTGCTTTCCCTCAGAAGCTCAGTTAATTCATGAAAGAGACAGCGTGATTTTTTCTGTTTCCATTCAGTTGAACATTTTCAGCACAAAGTTTCAGAATCATTTATGTTACATTCTTTGCAAATTTTCTTTTTATTTTTGCACCCAGAAAGAATTTACTTTCCAGTGTTTACATCCAGCTCTTAATTGAATTTTCCTCTTTCCAAAGAAGCCCTCCAACGTGATTGGTACTTATAGCTGTGTACTGGAATCTGGCTTTCTCTAAGAGGTTTGATATATGTACAGGTTTATGGGATTAAAAATATTGTCTGCTGAAAACACTGTGCTCAGTGATGCTGGTTTGCATCCCGGAGACTTCTCCAAGACTGTGCTCCAAGAGAAATGATGAATTGCCCACAACTTTTTATGGCAGAATGGTACAAACTCACGTTATCTTTAGCCAGCTGGTTGATTTGTCTAGTGAAGTGGGTCATGAATTGAGAACCAAAGAAGGTTGTCTAACCCTGCTCCTTTAAGCATATACAAAGCTGGGATAGTGGACAAAGCAGCTTACTTTTAGTTCAGATCTGCTATATCCAAATCAAATTATTATAGTAATAGAACCACATGCACTTTGCTTTGTGCCATTAGCTACTTGCAAACAATTGCAAACTTAAACTGTGTAAGCAACTCCTATTAGATTTTATCATCTTCCAGAGGCTTTTTATAGTCATGAGAATAACTCTGAAAGGATTATATAGTGCTCAGAGCTGAAAATAAATTGAGCTTGGACTGCAAAATCCAAATGAATGGCATCCTGAGAAAGCAATGTTCTTTCTTAAAACAAAGTGTTATTTCTGCACATCTGCCTATGACCATAATACATTGTAGTTTTTACTGCAGTATTCTTTTCAAAGAATACTGCCCAGTAAACTGTGAGGTTTCTGGAGTGTCTGTTTAAGCAGCAGATGCCACAAGGAGTCATAGTTGTATTTTTTCAGCTGTATTGAAAGCAAAGGCTGGGGCAGCTATCGGAAGGGGAATGGGTTTCCTGGGGAAATGCCACTCATGTGGAGTGCTTGGTATTTCCCAGGCTTCCGTACAAATCCCTTCAGTCACTGCAGCACCACTTTGTGTTGTTAAAACAACAAAGTATAAATACCACAATAGGATCTTAATTTGTCACCAGTCACTTCCAGTCAAATGCCACAGCGTACATCCTGCGCTCTCATACCAACAGCACAGCTATGCTGAGCTGAGATTAATTCAATCCAGTGTCAGGAATCAGAAAATGAATAAAGGGCTTCTGTTTCATAGGTGCTATATATTCTGTTTCATTCCATGCTATTGCCTGTGAATTAGAATGTGCTGGGCCTTTAAAGAGTTGTGCATCCTAAATAGGATCTGGAGGAACAAAGCAGATCTTATCTAGGTACCTTTTTGAATGAGCAGCCACTGACTATCCAAAATTTCTTCTTGAACAGTGGAAAATCCCTTGTGCTTTGGGATGTTAAAGATTGCCATTTGTTCAGGTCTCAGTGAAAATGACCTGATTAACGATACACCCTTTCTTCCAAAATGCTATTACATGTCAAATTTAGTTTGAGCAGTTAAGTATCAAAACTGAAGAGAAATTTGTTGCAGTTGATTATAGACTGAGGGAGCTGGGCTTGTTCAGCCTGGAGAAGGCTCCAGGGAGACCTTAAAGGAGCTTCCAGTGCCTAAAGGGGCTGACAGGAAAGCTGGAGAGGGACTTTGGCCAAAGGGGAATGGCTTTAACCTGACACAGGGGAGATTTATGTGAGCTCTTAGGCAGAAGTTCTTCCCAGTGAGGGTGGTGAGGCACTGGCACAGGTTGCCCAGAGAAGCTGTGGCCGCCCTATCCCTGACAGTGTTCAAGGCCAGGTTGGCCAGGGCTTGGAGCAACCTGGTCTAGTGGAAGGTGTCCCTGCCTGTGGCAGGATGGAACTGGATGAGCTTTAAGGTCCCTTCCAATGCAAACCAGTCTGTGATTCTATTCTATGATTCTCTTTGCTCAAGAGAGCTAAGGAGTTTGGGGTGGGTAGGTGGTTGTTGAGCTTTGTGGATTTTGGTTGTGGGTGGTTTTGTTTGCTTGTTTTTGTGGGGGTTTTCCCCCTGTAAGAGCCCTTTACTTTTATTTTGCAGGCCTGGTGGGTAGGAGATAATTTTTCTACAGATGTCTGGAGTATGTGTGACACAAATACTAGCACCTGTATGGCAATTACTGATCAGTTCACAGGTGAGTGTCTCACTGTGCCTGTCTCAGTTCCTTTAGCAGGAGATCTGGTGAAATCAATACAAAGTATGTAGGAGCAATAATCTATTTGTTCAAAAATCTGTATGCTCTAACTACTTGGGTTTTCTAAAAGCTTTAGTACTGGCTTTTCATTTTGGAAAAGCCAGTTGTTTTTGTGAGAGGAAAACTGAGGGAACTGTCAGGTGCTCTTGAGAGCCCAGGGCAGGAGAGGTGAGCAGATACCAATGAGCGCTAAAGGGTTCTGTAAATAAAGGGATCAGTGAAGCCATCTGAAAGTGTGGCTTAAGTGACAGAATTTACCTCAGAATTTGAACTTTAACTTTCACAGTGGAAATTAAAAATACTGGCAGCGTAGAGGAATTAGGGAAAAAGTGAAAGAAAATCAGAGCACAGGGTGCATTTGTAACAGAGAGAACTTAATGTACAGCACAGCCTAATACCCTGCTTTACCAAACATAGAAAAATTCTCAGATGTTACATTACTTTATTTCTGCACTTTTGATCTTTGTCTCTATTGAAGAGGTAGACGATTTGAAAAGCCATGTACCCATAACCTTCCAAGTATCAATTTGGCTTACAGCATATGTATCCCGGCCCAAGGCAGGGTGGTGGGACTTGATGAACTTGAAGGTCCCTTCCAGCCCAAACTATTCCATGATCCTATGATACCATGCTGCAGGTGGTCTGTTCCACACAGGCGTTCTTGAGCTAGCGCAAATGTAACATATTTGCATTTGATGTCTATATTACTATGCATTCGTTGCTATTGGGTACCCAAACTAGGTAGGTTGTAAGTAGCTGAGGTGCATCTGCTGTTCCAGAGCTACTGTTGGTGTAGCTTTGCTAAAGGAAAAGTGCTGTGAGGAGCTCATCTGTGTAGCTGATCTTGTCTGCATCGCTCAGGCAAAGGTACACAAAGAAGCTATGGGTAGTTACACATTTTTGGTTACTTTAGCTCTTAGTTATAGGGAAGTAATAGACAGGGTCAAAAACCTGAATCAAAGGACTCTTTTGTGCAGAGTGTGGATATCCTGTCTGGTTAATATCTCATTGGAAAAAGCTGTCTTCAGGCTGGTGAGAGGCCCAGGTCTGTGTTTGTAAGCCATTTGGGATCCCTGGCAGTTTTGCTGTGCCTTTAGTACACTGATGGTAGTAAAGGAAGTGGTGGGGAGAAACAGTGTCTTCAGTATTTTTATGCAGTTTTATGAAGAGCTTTTAGAAGTCCATAACCCCCTGGCTGTTTTAATACCATGGAAGCAGAGAAGAACCACTCTTCTCTGGTTCCATGCACCAATGGTGCATGTGCACCATTGAAATGCGTGCACAACTGGTTTGCTGTAGCTGCTGAACTGGTTCCAGAGCATAGCTCTGCCTTTCTGCTAATTGCAAGAGCAGGTGAAGAGAGAAACTGTATTTTTAACCGTGACTGCTTTTGTCTTTTCAGAATATCAATCAGTTCAAGCTGTTCAGGCCACCATGATCCTATCTACTATTTTCTGTTGTGTGGCATTTCTGGTTTTCATTCTTCAACTCTTCCGTCTGAAGCAAGGAGAAAGATTTGTGTTAACCTCTGTTATCCAGCTCCTGTCATGTGAGTAATTTTTCAACACTTATGACTTTAATAATGTTTACACAAGAGTAGGAAAGGAAAGGGGAAAAAGGTTTCAAAAAGAATGAGCTGCATGAGGACTCTTGAGGCCATAGCTTATACTTTGTACTTGTTTAAACAGTGAACTGCCCTATTCTGTACTTTTTAGGCAGTTAAAACATGGATGACATGACTGCTCAGAATAAAGTCATTTAAACATTGAAGGGAAAGAATCTGAGATTCCGATCTTCATGGACAAATTAAATAACTACATAGCTGTTACAGGCAGGTACTCCATTTTTTGCTAGGCTTTAAAACTATGCAGATGTTTAGAATCATTTTGTGTGCACTCCAAAGAACATAAACACAGAACAGCACTTCAAATTTAACCCATGCCAAAGAAACTGAAAATGTGTCCTGAAACACTCTGGGTTTAGTCTGCAGATGGAAAATGAGTGTCTGCAAAAAAGGGCATTGCTGGAAGCGTCTGACAGAAGAGTAACAGCGAGTAAATAGTTGTTGTGCATATTGATAGTATTTTAAGATGATAAACTTTATTATTTTCTTCTTCCCCCAGGTCTGTGTGTTATGATTGCAGCTTCCATTTATACAGATAGGCATGAAGAGCTACACAAGAGCAATGAGTATAGGATTGGAGTTTCTAAAGGCCAGTATGGCTATTCCTTTGTCTTAGCTTGGATTGCATTTGCATTTACTCTGATCAGTGGTGTTATGTACCTAGTATTAAGGAAGCGTAAATAAATGTCAAGCAGCTAGTCATTTGTCACTGCAGTACAAAACCAAATTTCAGTAACCATTTTGTATATAATCATTTACATGGTTTTGTAGTAAAGGTATTGTTTCTCTACAAATGTACTGTGTTCTTGATATGAAACAGAATTAAACAAAATGGCAGGTTTAATGGGTGCCTGGCACCTCTAGGTCAGGGGCTGAGCAGGACAGAGCCACCCTGGTTCTTTTACCTATTTCATCATCACAAACCGTTTTGCCTTAACTAGATGTTAACAGTTTATTCCTGGCCTCTAGAAGATTGCAAATAAAGCCCATGTAAATTAATTTGTAAGCAGTGTGCTACCTGTATTCCTGGACCAGATATTTCCCTTTGGAATAGGTTAAATATAGGGGGAGTGAAAAAAATGAGGCCCAGATCACACTGGAAGCAAACAATTACAGAAGGCCAAAGCTGCACTCGCTGCGCCTGGCAGAGGACTCATGTTCTACTCTTTACAATGTACAGTAAGTGTCATCAAGCTTTTATTAAAACCACTTGCTTTGCAAAAGTAAACAACCCTTTTTTGTACTCCAGCAAATTATTCTCTTGATTCTCTTTCACATTTAATTGAAACACACAGAGCCTTTGGCAGGAGAATTTACCAGCAAATCCACTGAACAACTTGGGACCAGAATAGTCTGGGCAGTAAGAAACACCCCACTCAAGTCCCATACCTCTTTAGTTTTGCATTGTGTGTAGTCTCTCTGGAAGGAAAGAAAAAAAAAACCCAACATTACCTTGCCTACATCTGCAAATTTCCAAGCAAATTGGTGATCAGTTAAAGCCAAATGCATGTTTCTATAGCCAAACTCAACATGGTTATTACACCAGGCTTTGATTATATAGCAATTTCATGGCTATTGTGTCATTTACAAAAGCATTCCCTGAGTCTGCCAATTAGGAAATTGGCCTTTAAAAATTCATTCTAGATTCCACTGTGGATTTTGCTTGAACCAAACACTCCTACTAAATAAATCAGAGTGTGATTACTTTGCTTATGAATTCCAGGCCAGTTTTGCAAGATAAAATGACTTGGTGGTTTTTATTTTTCAGGCATTTTGCAAGATAAATCTATACTGTAATAGCAGGCTCAACTGCTCAGCAGTGTAATACTGGCTTTGGCTGTTGGTGACTTTGGAGTTGGGAGATCAGTGTGGAGAGTGAAGTGGCTTTTTCTGGTTAGTCACAGCTTTGATGCTTAAATATAGATTTGACTTTGTAAAAGCACTAACCAGTTACTTCAGTACGTTCACTAGAGCTGGCCCAATATACAGGCAATAAAAAAGTAAGTAGGTTTTGAATGAGGTCTTACATTTAATGTAGAAAAAAAATGGTTACTACAAAGTAGTATAGCTCTACTGAAGTCTATACTTACTGCAGTATACATCAGCTGATGGTCTGACCCATGCCTTCAGGTAACTGATCCTTGATTTCTCAGAAAATTACAGTTCAGGTGCATAACTCTGTAGGAACTGTCACCAACATGAGTAACAGTCATACAATTCCATCTCCATTCCTTGAACATCCTAAAATACTTTGGCTTGTACTAGTTGTCTTTTGGGAGCAAAGAAAGCCCAACAGGATTGTTAAAAAATTAGATGGAGGACAACAGATTAGAAGATAATAGTAAAAATGCCCACATCATCTGAGCAAGACTCCCCAGTCTAGCATGATGCTAGTGTTTTGTCAGGGCTTTTTTCTCACAGTGGGAACACTCTGAATTTCCAGAATTACTACCCTACTTTTTAAAAAAGTGTTTCTACAGTTTGCTGAATAAATTTCAGATTCAAAACCTGAATTCTGCTGGCAAGAAGAATTTGTCTTAAAACAAGCAGATGCAGGTTTAAGGTTGAAAGTAGACAGACTATTATCAGGTGTTTTGCTAGTTGTATTCAGACATGAAACAGTAAGGGAAATTCCTAAGCAACTATAGATTCAAACTACCTTATATCTAGAGGAGTCCTGTAAAATTCTGAGTTAAGCTGTTACACCACTGGCTTGAAGAGATGCTTCTCCAATTTCTCGCCTCAATAATGTTCAGGTCATTTATAGAGCAGATATTTAAAATAAGGATATATATATACATGAACACACAGCTTAATTCCTCAGTGAGAGCACTAACCCTTAACTAAAGTGAAAAGCACGCACACCACGGTATACAAGCAGCAGCATGCTCATGATGCCACATAAGAGAAAATGGGAAATGTTATGCACACCAAGAAAAATGCCAAACCAGTGTGAACTAGAGTTTTAGCAGGACAAACATACTTTTGGATATTCTCTCTACCTGATAATGCCTTTAAAATGGTTACCATTTTCTATGCTCTATATATTCTGAAACTGTACGTGAAAATAAATTCTTGTACTGTAATAGCAAGCTCAATACATTTAGCAATCTGACTTTGTCTTTAAGCTTGGGATATATTTACACAATGTTGGATGAGAAACAGTTGAGTATTCGTGTGAACAGGTAAAATTAAATTCTTCCTGCCTGTACTAGACCCACAAGCTAATTATTTTTGTCCTTTGTCGAAGATCTTCCAGGGCAAGCAGAGAAAATACTAGTAGATTGTATATTTAAGTGCATCATGTCAAAAGAATACCTGCTAAGTAATGCAAGACCCACAGGTGCTCTGAGTTTACTTGTGAGAGTTATTTTTGATAATCTGCAGAAACAGCTGTGTATTTAACATCAGGTTGAGTGCCTGGACCCTGTGAGAAAGTAATGCTAGAAACAGGCCCGTCACTTCTATATCCAAGGGTCAGGTTTGCATTGAGATGGGCTTGTACAGATTGATTCAAAACACCCCCCCTCAATCCCCAGAAATTATTTCCCACACCCCTTCTAATCATAGTGAGCAAAAGGGAAAAATCCAAACTATGAAAAGATTCACTAGCAGCTGTGACTACCCTGTCCTCTTTTACCCAGCATCTGAAAGGAAGCACAGGAAACAATCTTGGAAAACATATCTGAAAAATTTATGTCAATATATGTATCACTTTTAAAAAAAAAGTATTTTTTTAAATGTGTATCATTCAGGAAAAGAAGTTCTGAATGAAGTTTTGTACTACCTTTCCATGAGATACCTTTAAAAACAAAAAAAGCACTGTAGGTGCTAGAACTGTGCTGCTTTAGCTTGAACTATTTTATTAGCCCAGCTACATCAACAGTTAATTTTTTATGGTTCTTAATGGCTTGAAAATAATGGAGGGTCTACGGCACTGTTGGCTTATCTTCAGCATTGTGGAAGCTGGTGCCATTTACCTAAGGAGACAGAAGAATCCTTCCTACAGTTTCTACAAATAGGAGTAAGAGGAGCCACTACCTTTACAAATACTAAATAGAGCTAAGATCCCCAAAATCTTGGTTCATCAATGGCACAGAAAAAAAAAAAAATTAAGCTGGAAATCTTACTTTTTTTATTTCTTTTGTATGTGCAATAATCCCCTCTAACGTAGTACGATGAAAGTGAAAAGTGGAAGTAAATTAGTTTTAAAGACAAGCTTACAGAATTAATGGAATAAAGTTCGTAACAGACCATAAGTAGGAAACATAAGGAAATTAGTAGTATCTGCAATAATGCTTTGACTTGGAACTCACTGCAAGTAACAATATAGTACGTAATAGTGGAATAGCAGACCACTTGTTAGGGTAGTCTGTGTCTCCTAAAGAGATTTTTAAGCAGTTGAAGTAAGCTTGTATATGACAAGCTTATATGTATATGTATATGGTCTATATTTGCATTGAATGACAAAGTAGTGCTCCTGGGGGGTGATAAGCTGTGATAAACAGCAAGCCACTGACAGTGGCAAAGCCCTTATTTTGCCTGCTCCCATGTGATGCAGAACTGTTACCAAGGTTTTCATGGAACAAATCCAAGTGGTAACTGTGGGGAAGGAAGCACGCTGCAGTTCAATTCCTGTAAGCACTGTAGCCGTTGGGTTTGGCAAATAAGCCGCTTCTAGTTTCAAGATTCTGAGGGTCTTGGAATTCTTCAGTAAGCTCTGGACAAAGAGAAATCCTTGGCAGTGGAGAAGGACGTGGGAACTGCTTGAAAGTCTAGGCACCAAGACAAAACCAGTTGTTATTTGAACAACGGCAACAACAAATAAGCCAGTTACACTACTTCTTACTAATAAGTAGCTTAGCTTCATGTAAATCTGTTCACTTCTGAATTGTTACTGTCTGTATAGTTCCCAAACCATCAGAAGTGCCACAGATTACATGGTGTTCATGTCTTAGTATTTGGCATGTTGCTGACATAGAAAATACTTCTTAGTCCATAGTAATAACCACTTAGCACAACAACTTGTATGTTATCAGTAGGAATGCTGTAAAGTTTCCCATTATGTCTAGAGGGGTATTTACTTTTGATCATGACTGCACTGAATTTATAGGGGGAACAGAGTGGTGGTTGTGTTTTTTTTTTCCTATCAATAAATTAACCAAAAAGCCACAACCCTGTGCATGTACTTAGTTTGAAACCAGGTGTACATTGCACAGCTGAGTAAAATGGCAGGTGCCATCATGAAACTCAACTGCTACAATAAATTTCAACAGATATGAGCCAGTCCTCATGATGACTGAACTGCACCACATGGTGCAGATTTTGGCCTATTTTACTGCTGCTGCTTGAAGAAAGCCTGTGTTCTATTTCTCTTCACAAAACAAACAAAAACAAAAAAAGTGAAACTATTTCTAAAAAAAACCCAGTTGTGTTGCTGTCATAAATGCTAAAGTTCAGAAACTTCAGTTTAGGCAAAACCCAACTATGTACACATTGCTACAAAGGAGGTGGTAGGAGTGTAACACATGCGCACTGCTTCACAGACTCAACCTTCTCAGTATGTTATTGAGAAGTAAAAAAGGTACCATTTTTATTTGAGAGGCTTGGGTTTGTTTTTTTAATACTACTTCAAATATTTTCATTTATAGTAAAATATGTTCAGTAGAAAAAATTCTCAAAGTATCTGTATTGAAGAATTAAAACTGGTTTGTATCCTAAAAGCTCAGAGGGTGAAAGTTTTAAGTCTTGCTAGAAAATCATGTTTTCACACGTTTTCAGGCATGGCAAATTTGGAAGAGGAGGGAAAGAAAGGAAGTTTAAAAAGGAAAAAGAAAGAGGGAAGGATGACTGGAACAGGTTTTGGGGTTAGGGGTTCTGGGTGTTTATTTCTAGTGACGACACCTCTGTCATCACTTCTATGATGTTTCACTCTTCCAATACTGTTACAACAGAGCCTCCCTGTGGTGAGAGAAGCCTACTCCCTCAAAGCCCAGCTTTAAACACTCCTCCGTTTTCCATTTGGAAAGGTCTTGAAAAAGTCTAACTTCTCACCAAATTCTAAACTATATTGCAACAGGCAAATCCACAATTTAAAAATCTATATAATATGAAAGTTGAATAAAAGAATGCCTCATTTGATGTTTCTTCTCTCAGCTTTAGGAAGCCTTGGCTGATGCAGACTGGTTTTGAATTCTGTTGGTTTGATAGGTATTTGTAAGCTCCTATTTGTTCTGCCTGCAAACAAGATGCAAACTTTAACTATTATTTTTCTACCTATCAAAAGACAGCTTTGTTAGAATCCTTACTTCACAGATGGAGGAGTTTTCGCTGTATGCTGTGGTTTTCCCCTTATTGTGAGATGTGTTAATTTCAAACTTAACACTTATCTTTGCAAAAAAAAAACCACCAAGAGAAAATTTCTTGCAACTGAAAGATTGCTTCAGTTTAGGCCAGCTACATTAGGTGAAACTTGAATAGAATGAGTCCATCTTGACTCCTCATAACCACTGATTTTCATCTTTCAATTATACTTTGAGGAAATAGGATTTCGTCATATTCATGGCTCACCACAAGCTATTTAGAACACCATCTAATTAAGGTCACTTTCTAGTACAATCAGTCAGACCTAGTACCAGATACACCAACAGTATTTTTTCTTTGATATTCTTACAGAAAATAGTTACTCAACTGATGACTTAAGCATGAAACACAACAGGTTTGTAGCAGTTTTCACACAAATTTAGACCAACAAAGTTTTATCTACCACCTCCTCCCATCAAAAAAAAAAAAAAAAAATCCCCATAGTTTACTTTTTCCCACTGACTGAGCTGCTGTCACAAATACAACTGCACTGACTTCATGCACTGAGAAGAAAGGTTATGAAAAACACTTCAGTCCCATCGTGATCTCTAGATTTCTCTGAGGACATACAGATTCCCATGGTGAAAAACATGTGCTCCTCAGGACTTGGAGTTTTGCAATTATTTATTATTATTTTCCCAAACAATCAAACATTTCAGAGATGGACTACACAGAACCAAAACAGCTCAAAAAGCATTCTGAACACAGACAAATACCTGTGTCTTTTCAAATGGGAAACCAGTAACTTCGTTTTGTTTAAGGGATCCACAAGTAAGCTTGGCTAGGCTGTCAATGCTGGGAGAAACAGACTTATTTTTATTCTTTAAACGTTCACCTTCTATCCAAAATGAAGAATAAATCAAGCTGAGTAAGTGCTTACAAAACTAACATAGTTCAAGATTGATCAACATTTCTTCCCCTCTCATTTGCTCAACTTGCTGTGACCTGCAACCTAATTGCTTCTGTAGCTTTCCATGCAGTACAGTCATCGAGGAGACATGTTTCCACTTTGAAGGGGAAAAGCAGCATGACATCTCATCACTTTTCATATCACTCTTTTCCCTCTAAGTTCACCTTTAAGAAGGCAATAAAACAATAATAAAAGCAAAATGTATGACAGTCCACATACTGTTCCTATGTTTGTCAGAAATCTAAGCCCCTCTAATAGGAACTCAAAACCCAGGATATTGAAGCAGTCTATGGACCATCCACAACAATGGTTTTGTTTGAAAAAAAGTATTAAAATCATCCAGAGTTTATTTTTTACCTGAACTGCTGCTGACATTTCTGCTTGTGTGTACATTTGATTTGTTAGAATAGCTGTAACACAATTTTCACAGAAGTTTAAAATATATAAACATATTTTATCTGAAAGGCTTAATTTACACTGTGACAGGAATACCTTTTAATCCTTATCAGAGCAGCAGAATATTACCAATCCCCCCTCCCAAAACACATGGGACAATAGTCTTCGAGAAATTACAGGCTCTCGGTATTACCTCTAAGACGCAACTATCCAGCAGGTCACCTCAGCCTGCCTGGTATAGTTTGAGAGGGATTCTAAATACCAATGACATCTTTGTAAGGAAGCAGGGGGAGAAAGCATGCATTCTGAGGTGCTGTTCAGGATGTGAGCTGACGTTTCTCTAGAGGTTCTTCCCCAGTAAATCAGTTCAATTGCAATGAAAAAAACCCCATGTGTGCAGAGAGGACAAACTGTGTATTACTCTTGATTAAAGAATTGAAGAATCATAGAATCATGGAATAGTTACAGTTGGAAAGGACCTTAAGATCATCTAGTTCCAGCCCCCCCTGCCATGGACAGGGACACCGCACACTAAACTATGCCACCCAAGGCTCTGTCCAACCTGGCCGTGAACGTAGCCAGGGATGGAGCATTCACAACTTCCCTGGGCAACCCATTCCAGTGCCTCACCACTGATACTGATACTTACTTCCTTTAAGGAAGGATTGCTCACTTTGTCACTAAATTATTTATATGGCAGAGCCATGTTTGGTAAAAGCATGTAGTGCTGTTAGTGTTTTAAGGTATCTATTAAGTTACAGTACTTGGATTTTAAAAAAATGAAATTAATCATCTCTTTCTATGCTATTTCCTGAGAAGACTGTTGTAATAATAAAACAGGTTGGATGTATGAAAGTTTTGTTAGTGCACCTCATACTAGCCTTTGACATACTAGAATTTTAATTTCAACATTTCTAAACTAATGGAAGGCTACAGATAGACATCTGGATAAAGTGAAAGCTTGCTAATACTTCAGTTAAAACACACAAACATCTGGCACATCTGTAAGCATTTCAGAGCACAACTGAATTTTAGTGACATTGTAAAAAAGAAAAGCCAGGAGTAACTGGCACTATTGCAGCTTTGTTTTGTATGTTCCATACTACATCAGCGTGCATGGATTCAACATTCAATTTCAATACCTAAATTATCTGCAATTGCTGAATTTCGGGTTTCCACAGGGAATAGTAGGGGTCCATCAGAACTGATGAACCAAGAAATTCAAAACAAAACCATTCAAAATAGCTACGCAAATATATCAGTCATTAAAGACTTAATTCATTGATCGAGACTTAATTAAAATAACAAAACGGCACAGTAAACAAACCTTAATAAACCACATTGTCGTGGTTTAAAACCAGTCAGGCAGCTCGTTCACTCACTCCCCCCCTTCTTGCCCTCCCCCTACTCCTGGAGGGATGGAGAGGAGAATCAAAAAGAATGCAACTCCCACGGGTTGAGATAAGAACAGTTTAGTAACTAAGGTATAACACAAATCACTACTGCTACCACCAATAATAATAATGATAAAGGAAATAACAAAGGAAAAGAATACAACACCTCAGCACCAGCTGACCTGTAACTCCCCCCCCGCCAGCCCGACCAATCACTGACCGATACCTCCTCCAACCCTGCCGACTACCAGCCCTTCTGTGTCACTCCCAGTTACATGCTGGGCATGACGTGCTGTGGTATGGAATACCTCTTTGGTCAGTTTGGGTCAGGTGTCCTGTCTCTGCTTCCTCCCGGCTTCGCCTACTCCCTGGCAGAGCATGAGGCTCACAAAGTCCTTGGCCAAACCAAAACATCATTGTTGTCAGCTCTGTTCCCAGGCCGAAAGTCAAAACCAGCACTGCACCAGCTACCAAGAAGGAGAAAAATGACTGCTACTGCTGAACCCAGGACACACGTACTAAGTTATGGCACTGAGAAAAAAAAAAGTAAATCCATTCAATTTACTACCTGGTGCATTTGTACTACCTGGTACTACCAGTACAATTTACTGGTTAAGAATGGACTATGCCATGCAGGAGGAACATTCATATTCTAAACATCTTTCATAGAAATAAACCCTGTTTGCTTCCATTTTAGTAAAACAACAAAGTTACTCTGTTTGCTTGGTAAAAACGAGCACACAGTAATTGTACTGCATTTCTGTGCTCTCTAAAATGTAACCATCAATTACTCACATTACCCAAACCCCAGAAATGTCATGCTTTTGGACTGCATAGTGTATGCTATTACTGAGGTACTTTTTGAGATCTACTGAGGTTCATTATCTCAGATCCAGGGTCACTTAATGCTCAAAAATACCAATAGATACCACTAGGCATACTGAAATGCCTACTTGCTGATAGGTCAATTTTGTAGCGTACATGGTAAATTCCTACAGACTTCATACATACATTAACAACTAAGCTATTCCAGTTGACCTGATGTGTAAAATGCCTGTCTAAGATTACAAAGACTAGGAACATAAGAAGCATAATAATGCTCAGAGAAAAAGATAACAGCTAAGGGGATATCTGTGACACTGGCACTGCCCATATGCTTGTCAAGGCTTTCCTGATGCTGCCATCAGGATATGTAGGAGAGAAAATATTAAGTCCCCAGGATGCATGAGATCTACTGCACCTGTTTTGATCAAAAAGAACAGCAATTTAACACAATAGCCTCAGTGTAGAAGATTCCCCCAAAAGAAACAAGGGAATCCTGGCCACATTCTGTGATAGTTGCAACCACACAAATGCCAGCTCTTAACTTCTTTCCTCTGATCACCTGTTGTTGATTACTGTTTATGAGTAAGAAACTTATAATCAAACTAATTGAGCTGGGTCAAATTGGAACTTATTCAATTATAAGCCAACAAACTTTCTTTGCTGATTTCATTTTTGCTATAAGCAAAGATTTACATATTCAGAAAGTAAAAACCAAATTAATACATTTTACTGAACAACACTGCTGACTGCCACCTCCCAGAACAGGCTAAGAAACCTCGTGCGTGCTTTGAGCAACATAAATTTGACTTTACAATAAAACCCAAAGGCCAAAGATACAAACTTGGTGTCAGCCATGCAAATGCCAGCCATGTGTGGTCCTGTGCTAAAAAGAATCTCATCCAGCCTCTGGACATACTGGCCATACTGTCATGTTTTTCCATCCCCATACTACTCAGTTGCACATTCATATACCATTGCTTTTTGCAAACAGCAAATAATTGGCAGGTTACATGCAATAACACACAATCCCTTCTATTCATGAATTCTACTAAACCTCTTACATGCTTATCAGTCATGAGCGAGACCTGTGCACAGGCCATAGTGACTGCAAACATGCAATAAAACTTGAAACTACCATGAGAAGGGACAGTTAAATTAAGAATTGCAGATGGACTGCAATCCTAAATCAGATTCCACACTATTGCGGTTGCACAGAATGGATTCATCAACATTAAATAAAGGAACTAAACATCATGATGCTGACAAGTGGTTTCTTCCCAGGCTTGAAAGCCAGATTCCAGCTAAACAAGGATTCCTGCAACTTGCAAAGTATTTTTTTTAGTACTCACCCTGCTTGTGTTCAATAATAAAAAAAAAAAAAAAAAAAAGAGTTACATTTCTGATTTGGAACGAAAAGTATTTGATAAATTGTAGGAAAATCCAGACACAGAAAAATCTGAGTAGAAATGATTTCTGTTTTCTTACAAAATTTCCTCAGGAAACAAGTTCTGTGATAATTTTCTAATTTTTTACAGTATTAATAATATCTTTGTTTTACATCATCTTGCAGCTATATACGTGCAGGATCAGAACAGCAGTAGCTGAGGGTCTGAGCAAATCTCTCGGTACTACAGGATAAGTGGAAAATAGAAAAAAAAACAAGGCAGTACATATAATACCTGTTTAAGTAAATAAAAGTAGTCTATGCACAGTAAATAACATTTCTGTTATAAACAAAGTATTTTGGGTTTGTCTATACAGAAGCCAAAGTAAGTTGTCATTCAGTAAGAAACTGGCACAATATTGGACCCTGAAACACTGGAAGAACTGATCATCTAGCTTCAGCTGTAATGGATAGGCTGGAGATACCAGCAACAGCACTGGACACCTAACAACAACTGTGTTGAAATCTAACTATTAGAATTTAACTGCTAATAAAGAAGTTGAGAGAAAATTTTCTCATAAATGCTTTAAAGCAATATAAGGACATTAACTACATTTTACTATTCAGCTCTAGATACATACCTTGTATATTCTGAAACGTGTTGAAGGGAAACCAGTGTAAGGTGATAACAAAAATGTATTTGTTGGTATAATATTAGGACAGAAAGCAGAGGGTCCAAGCTGGTTTACTACTGTATTTGGATAGTATACACTTGGAAGCATTGTCTGACAAAGAAGGAAACATACACTTTGTTGTCATAAAACTTACAGGATAAATCTGGTCATATTTGCAAGAAGTGCTAAAGTAACTGAGGTGTACTCAAACACAACAACAAAAGAAAAACACAGCAACACCAAAGCAACTTTTATTTTCCCCTTGAAGCTGAACTTTTTTTTAAAAACCCCAAACACCTATTTAAATTTTGAGGCTTGTAAGCATCTTCCTTGTCCTTATCCTGTTTCATGCTTTGTTTAAAGTTTCTGGGAAAAGGCCAAGAAAATATGAAAGAACAAAAAGATTTAGACTTCGAAGACTAAACAAGCATATTTCTGTAGAAAGAGATTCTTTCATTAAATATACAGTCAGCATGAAACTGGAGGCTGACAGTTCACAGAGCTACTTCTCCCATAATATTAGCTACAAGAACTTCAGCACAATAAAATACAATTATGCTAAGGACATGAGAAATTCCTGTTCTTCACGAGAATCAAATGTTCCACAAAAAAAAAAAAAAGATGCTTTTCAATCTTATATTTTCAGTACTAATGTACTAGTACCTCCCATGAAAAATGCTCATATATTAATAGCTATGTTATTAACATTTTCATTTACTCTATTATATTTTCAAATTCACTGCCTGAGAAAGTGGTTCTCAACTGGCAGTTCATGGGCCCTATACAACTGGCGGTCTATAGCTGAATGGCTGAGAAAAGGTAACTCAAAGAGGCAAGCATGCTGTAAGAACTTTTAACTTGTAATAAAGAGGGCTGACCATTCACTACAAAAATCCAATGGCTCTCCAGTAGGACACCCTCAAAGCAAATGTTGTCAACACATGTAGTGTCTACACCCAGTGTTGAGTTTATTCAGTTATGATGACTGAAAAGAACTATGTTGTAGTCCAAAACGGAAAACAAATTCTCAAAAGATCAACCAATTTAAGAGCTCCGCATGGATTATTTTTTTTTTTTTTTCTGTTCTGATGGTAAGCAACAGCAATGTAGCTGTCAAAGTCATCAGTTTCAGTGTAACATCCACAGTCATCTGTTAGTTTACAGGGGGGCATTAATACCTGTATGAGCATCTGCATCATACCTGGTGAACAGCCATTTTTGAGAACGCTTCCTCCTGAAATGCTTTCGCAGCTTGAATCTGTCTCTCAAGTTTGGATAGTTTCTTCTGCAACAGAAAAGAAACACAGCATGACTTAAATAAGGAAGCTAGATGTCATTATCATATGAAGAGTAGACAGTGAAACAACTGCCATGAACACAGGCTTAAAATAGAACTGTTATTAACTTACCTTTCTGTCACACAAGATGAAAAGATTGCATACTTTTGCGGTCCTTCTCAGGGAGTATACCAGGTACTATAATAGTCTTATGTGGTACACATGCAAAATATTCATACAGCTATGCAAAGACACTTACTAGGAATGCCATATGCTCTTTCTTCATAGGTTTCTTTGCATTGGACTTCTTCAACTCTTCTGTTTAAATTTTCTAGTTTTTGATTAAAGAAGTAATTTAAAATATCCATCTGCTCACCAATCACAAGATTAATCTATAATAAAGAAAAGCCATATTTCAAATCTAAAAGTCTAAAAATATTGAAACAACTACACAAAACCAGTACTGAATTTAAAATCTAACTAAGGTTTAGGAAAGTAAGGTCATTGCTTTCTATTGTTCATAGGGCATTTCTGGCAGGTAAAGACGTACATTGTCACTCTTCATTGGACTTAACTCACTTTACATAAAGGAAGTGTGAAAACATACTTAACTTCTAAACTTGAGAGGTAAAATCAGGATGGTATATTCATCATCATCACTACACTGGAATAGCTTTAAACAGTTTTTAAAATGTGCATAATTTCTCTATGTACAGAATTTAGGATTTGAATTTCTACAGGACTGATGATCAAAAATTGTTGAGAGGCAAGATATCTGCTCCCAAGCAGATAGTACTTATGAGCAAGTGCAGCTTGATATTCTGAGAAATAAAATATTCTTAATGACTATATAAAAACAAATATTTACATTTCAAAACATTATAAATAATATTGTTTATATTAAAATTATTTGTTGATCAAACACACATCAGGATAGGTGTCCTTGATACCAACTGCAATGAAAAAATATCCATATAAACAGGACTGAGAGTATCTTAATATCAAGAAAATAAAGACTTTTGTAATCAAGTAGTGGATTTCCTGGGGGGGGGGGGGGGGGAAACTTCCCATTAAAAAAAAAATATAAATTCCTGATCATTCTTCTCTACATGAAGTACTTGTTTTCTGCCTCTGTGATAAATTGCTGAACTGATTCCTTTCTTTCAATGACTTTACTGAATTGCTTTTGCTATGTTGCAACAATTCAATAGCTGTCTCTCCTTTACAAAAAGCAAAAGAACAATGAAAGTATTTAGCTTCTTTAATTCTCTTAATTAAAATATTTATTTCCTATTATACCTAATAATTGCTAAAATGTTGAGGCTTTTAAAATACTCTTAATGCCTTGAACAAAGCATTGTCTTGGTCCCAGTTTGAAAGAGAAATAAATCTGTCTCCAAGACAGACATTGATGAATAGATATTGATATGCTACAACACAGATAGATATCACAGGCACTTATACTGGAGACACTCACAGGACCAAATTTTTCTGGTCATTCACTACAGCCATAAGTTGAGAACTAATTACTGCTTTCTAATTTAGCTGTTCCTTCTCACCCTTTCCACTCCTTCACATATCCTTCTCTATTTGTCAGTCTTTCCTCTCCAATTCCAATGCAGACAGGAGGGACGTTTGTACTAGCAGAAATTGCTGTCAAATGAAGAACTAAGTATAATTTAAATTCCCCTTTTCACAAGGACTTCTGGCATCCAGTGTTTCAGTGGCATACAGCAGTGATAACATGGTTGACCTAATGGAGTTCAAGTCACATGTTATAATCCTTTTCCTGGTCACAATACATTTCAGAAAATCCCCAGAAAATGATAAAATCATGCTTCCCACAGAAGACAGTGGGAGTATTACAGCAGTTTCTAGACAGCTGATCAGTGTTAAGGTGTTCGTCCTTTGACTTCCTCCCTTCACTGAAGCTGCATAAAGAGTTCAGAGTTCTTCAATCCATCTTGGACACTATGGTCCTTATTCTAGGTCTCAAACAGTAGCAGCTGATAAAGAAATATTCCCTTAAAATGGAAAGGTACTAAAGGAGAATTTTCAGATATTCCCCACAAATGGAAATCATTATCTCTCTGAGTAATTCCTCCTGTCTCTATCTTCTGGAAGGAGCAGTCTGATGCACTTTCAAAAAGTGGTAGTCAGATCCAACTCACAAAGTAAATGTTACTTTACCTAAACTATGCAATAAGTGGGTGCATTCATATGTAAATTTTGTTTTATGTAGCAATCAAAATATTTAAAATTTGGGTAAGCAGAGAATTCAAACTAACTTCAGTATTTTCTCCTCTACAAACACCCATTTATAGTCTCCCTAAAAAGATGCAGTTGTCAATATTGTTAATCTAAATCATTGGTACTCCCCACAAATATACCTTAAGTCATAAACAGGATGATACCATCTATCTTAAAACACACATAAATTGACAATTCAAACATTCAAATCACTGCACGTCACCTTTCCCAAAAGACTTTCTTCATTTTTTGAGACTGTGCAAATAGGCTTTTGCTTGATTTCATCAGCAATCTTAATACATTTGCATGGGGTATTTTCTTCAATTACTGAGCTTACCCTCTTTCTTTCAGTGCTCCCTGAGGAGCAAAAAGGCCACCCTTAACCTTCTGTCTACATTACAATATAATTAATTACAGCTGAGGGCAATGGAGGGAGGAATTGTATCATTCAAATTAGTGATGTGCTTCCTTAAGTATACTGCAGCAGTTTGATCTTGAGAGTTGAGATGCAGTATTTTGTGGGGAAAAAAAAACCAACAAAAACAAACAAACAAACAAACAAACCCAAACAAACAACCAGAAACCAAATACTCAGGCATCAAGCAGGGAGAGAGGGAAGAGGGGGACAGAAACAGGATCAAGGTGCTGCTATGAATTTTCTTACTATTAAATTTTGTTAGAGTTACTTATTGAGACCTACTTTACCCTCCTCCTTTTTTTTTTTCCAGTGATAATATGCTCTCTACCTTGAGACAAGCAAATACAAGAAATCTTTTTCTGCTGAAATAACCACTGAGATGTCTAAAGGCTTTCCCTATCCTATTGTGGGCCAGTGCCTCTCATCTCTCTTTTACAGAGGTTTTTGACATACCCTGCATTTTGAAAGCCCCTTCCTAAGATTGGGGATTCTTTCTGCTTTATGAGCTGAGAAGATGGCCTGAGAGGCATGTCAGAACCATCATCATTTTACATACACTCTTACTACAAGCAAATGAAATGCCTCTTCTCCTAGCCCTCTTTTTATTAAAATGAAAAATTATAGAGGAAATTATTCTCTAGGGGATGTGATGAGGTAGTAAGAAGGAAGAGTCTTGCACCTGCAACCTAAAGATTGTACTTACCTTGCAAAAAGAACAGTATTCAACTTACTACTTGTTTGTGATGCTATGCAAATATAACAGGAATTTCATGACTATGCAAATATAACAGGTATTTCATGACTGTACAACAGGTGTTTTGCACTACAACCAAGGAGAAAAGGGTATTTCTGGTTCCCTCCACTGATAATCACTCAAGCAGCAGCACCAGCAGTAGATGCAGTTATTGAAATAACTGGTAGGGCTGGGACCAGCTCCCCACTCCTGGACAATGTAAAATCCAATATGCTGAGGAAGAATAGGCTGGTAAGGACACTGGCCTCCAAGAAAGGCTGTATTTTGACTCATTTAAAAATGAAACTGGGCTACCAATACCATGTGAAATTTAAACAAAGCAATTATTATTTTCATGCTCTAGGCCATCAGTGGTTTGAAACCACTTCCCTTTTCCCCACTCCAAAAAGACCAAGAAAACCTTGCCTGTTCCACCTCTAAGAGCTAGGCTTGCATGGCTGCCTTTTACACTGATACTTACTTTTCATTGTCACTTATTTTAGGCAGTGTACAGAAAAACTTTCTTGTCTAGACAAGACAGGAGAAAGTCTCTCTACTTGTAACCCTGAACAAGAAAAAGGAACACTCTTCTTCCTAACTGTAAGCATCCAGCAACTTCAGAATTAAGGATGGTTCCACACATTCTACAAGTACACCATTATTTCAGCTAGTAATTTTCTTGATCCTGGAACAACAATTCTCCTGCTAAGCTACTTGGTTCATAGCTAAGCATAAATCATGGTTAATTTTTAAGCATTTACCCTAGTTAGGAGCTAGAGACGTGCATAAGCCAGAACAGGAATTTTTTTTTCTTTTTTTTTCCCCCCAGGGGTAGGGAAATGAATGGAGGAGTATTTAGGCATTTGGTCTTCAACACCTGCCCTTCCTCCCTCCTTCCCCCCATAGCTGTCTTTTATCCTAAAGGTGAATGAAATAACTCTCCACTTAAAACTTCCTAATAATACGCATTTTAATGCCATCATTCACAACAATGTTTTCAAGGAACTAGTATTAATTCGAAATTTAAAGTTACTATCAAGGCTTTTTTTAAAGCTATTAAGCTTTTTGAACGAGACCAAAGTCATCACTGGCATGTTTGAAAAGAGGTGTTTTACTTATTCCCTTATGCATAAACACAGTATTATTGAAACAAAAATTGGAAACAAAGCTTACATCCAGTTGCAATATAAAACAAAAGCAAAGTTGAGAAAAATGCTTTGGTTTTACCTCAAACCTCCAAACTAAGATGTAATCACCTTATTCAGTAGTCTCTTGTTTCAGATTTGAAGTATTTTACCTAAAGGTTTTAACAATTGAAGATATGAAGTACCTGTTAAGCCCTCTTAGGGTTAATGCCCTATCACAGAGAAGAATAAATGTACCAATTCAATACAGTTCTTATAACTTCAAGTCCCAAATCCAACAACTCCTTCTGCCCAGGAAACCCTAACCTGACTTGGTAAGTTAGTTGCTGATGCTTGAACACAATTTATGCTGACCTATGAATTCAGAATAGGTCAAGATATTTCATAATGCTAGGTAAAATTATTATTAACAAAATGTTGCAAATATTCCCATAGCAAAGGTTAGTTAAAGGGCAAACAATT